TAGCATATAAATAACAAATTTAGACCACAAAATAAAAAATTTACTCTTAGTTAATAATGTGCTATTACATTTTGATTCATATAATATTGAATAATAATAATTTAATAAAAATAAATAATATTAATAAAAAAAGTTCTATTTTAATTTAATTATATAAACATTTTATAAAGATTATACTAAAATGTTAAAATTAATATATAGTATATAATTAATTTAGTTTATTTATTTTTTAAGAATAAGGCCTAATCTTGGTTTTTATTGAACAAATTAGTATTATATTAGTTACAATATTTTATATAAATTATTACAAAAACCTATAACTAGGACTAGTTTTATTTTTAGTTCAAATCTTTACTAGAATATATTATGAAACTTTTTTTAGATTTAGTATTGCAATATAAGATATAAATATGTTAGTAACAAAAAATAATTGGCTATTTTTTATATTTACATACTATTATTTAATTTATAGATTAAAGATTATAATTGTTAGCATAATTATTAGTAAACTATTTTGATATTATTTAATAAAACTCTTTGCAAATCTATTATACAAACATTAACTAAAAAATTCATTCATCTAAAAACACTTATACTATTTATTTTACTAAAATAACCTGTCTTGGGCTCTTAAGTAAACTTATTCAGCTTATCATTTTATATATATTTTGCAAATATTTATATTCTATATTTCAAATTTATTGAAAATCATATACTAATGGTCTTTGGTTTCTAGTTTTAAAATTCTAATTATTTCATAGTTTCTAGTGTCTTAATCTGTTCTATACTCTTAAGTAAAGTTGTAATACACATTTACTCAATCAAAACAAGCTCTAAATAAAGATTTTTGACCTAATATTGACTAAACTACAATTAAATTTAATATTTACTCTCTTACAAATTTTTTTTCTATTTTTTGTTCTTATTCTATTACCTTTTTTCTTTATATATTTTTTATATAACTATATAATTATTTCTAAATTTATATCTTATTAATTTATATCAATATCTTATAATCAATCTATTTATAGATATTCATTTAATACAATTCATTATTACTATATTTGGTTCTTACTAATATTATACAGTAATTTGTATTACAAATCATATTTGTGTTCAGTATTTAGACACAATAGTGACCCCAACCACTTCTATTACACTTTAGTGCTATTCCAGTAATACTTTCACCATACAACCTTTGTTTTTATCTACTATCTTTACAAAGTTAACACTTACAATCATATTTGTTATTTATAAAAATTCTCTAAATCTTAATTCTCTTTTTGTTTTTTTTTATTTAATTTATAATTATTACAAAATATCTACTTTAATTCATCAAGAATCTGATACTGCAGATCTTAATTATTTTTACCAAAATTTCTTATACAGTTTTGAAATCACTCTTTATGAAGAAGAAAATAACAATAATATTCACCTAATTTTTTCTAAAATTCAACTACTTTCTGTTTAATAAAAAATCTTAGATCATATAAGATTATATATTTTTTTAAGTTTCCTTTTCTACCTTTGTGATTACTTATCTTTTTAACAAATATTACACTAAATTCATCACATCTACCAATATTAATTACATCCAAGTTACCAATTTTACTACTATTCATATTAATAACAATTTTAAAAAACTTAACAAAACAAGCCAAAATCTTATATCTAATATCTTTTCTTTTACTAACAGCAGTGTTGAAAATCTGTTTTGAAATTTATATTCTTATGAAAACACAATTATTTAATTTAATGTTCTCAAAAATATTTTTATATTCTTAATAGCAAAAATTATTATTATTATTTTTTGAAAATTTTTAGATAATATTGGTAATTTATTTAAATTTTTATCTCAAACTTGCTTGTTATTTATGTTTGTTCATTCTCTTTTCAGAATTTTTCAAAATTTATTTATTTTCTAATTGTCAACTTAATTTGTACTATAGTATATAGAGAACATATTTATCAAGCAATATGTTCTCAAAAAATTTTTTATAGAGAACATGTTCAAAGTAACAAATGTTCTCAAATTCAAAAGTATGTTCTCTTAAGAACATGAGAACATTAGATTTTCTACACTGACTAACAGTGTTCTTCCATCTTCTATATCTGATATATACTACTATATCTGTTCAAATACTCTGTTCCAATTAGTTGTATCAAGAGAAATAAGCATCATTATCTTATTGAAAAATATGCTACTAAAAATAACAAAATCTATTATCTTATTTACATAATTACTTTATCTTAGCATGAAGCTAGTTTATCTTAAACTAAGAAAATCTTACTCAAACTTTTCAAACCATTTTATTGAAATCTAATCAAACTACCAAATTTTATACTAACTTCTTAAACCAAACTTCCTTTATCACTTCTGATCTTATTGATATTTTTTATTACAACTACTAATATTAATTCTATCTCTAACCTATTACTAATTATTAACATCTTTGATGATTCTAACTTAAATCTTAACAATTCCAATAATACTAATAAACCTAATAGTATCTTTAATAAACTCTTTTCCAAAACTATTCTAGCATGTTTAAACCAAAATCCAATTCTACATATAACTGGCTTACAAATTTTTCAATCATTGAAAAAATACAATCTAATAAAAAATTACTAATCTCATTTTCTCTTCAATTCTTCATTTTTTTCAAAAAATTTCTTTATAACTTTTATATTAGTAAAGAAATTAAACTAACTATCTTGATTTAATCCATACTTAAGACCTCATTCTATTATATTATTTATATCATAACTGGATAATGACTAGTATTCTTAACTGATCTTATTTATAATAGTAATTCTAATATTGACAAAAATACTACTATTCCATTTAACTTATTTAAATCTATTCTTAAAATTTTATTTCTTAAATTTACAACTGTTTTCTTTACTAAACTCAACTATCTTAAAATTTTTGTCTTATTAGTTATTATTTTTCTATATACTGCTCATAATCATCTTTAACTTTATCTTAATTTTGTATAACTCCATCTCTTTTTATCTAATAATTATCAATCAATCAATTACTAAAAATTTACTGAAGATTTAAAACTTAAATCTAAAAGATTCAAAATTAAATCTTTTATTGAAGCTACTAATCTTGATCAAAAATATCTTATCATTTAATTAGATACTAAATTCAATATCAAGTTCTTTTTTAATGTTTCTAAAACACTGTTTCTTGAAAGATTCTATATTTTTTTCTTAAAAATTCTTTTGAACACCTTAATTTTTGGTTTGAAATCTACTACTTTCCTTACAGTTACCAATTTTCTTCTATTATTAACAAAGAAAAAGTCAAAACTTTTCTTTAAATTTAATTTTATCAGTACTTTATTCTTCAACTTTTCAAATACCTTCCTGAATCCTATATATTTAAAAAACTTAACTTATTTTATAAATGATATGAGGAAACATCTCATATTACAAATTTTTATTGTCTTATTTGTAACAACAAAACATATCAATATCTCAATAATAAAAAATTTTATGATAATACTAAACTCTTTAATAACATACTAAGCAAATCTTACTTATCATTTTCATCCAAAGAAAATGAAACATAGATTTATCCTATTCTTAACTACATTATTTCACAAAAACAAAGAACATGTTGCCTCACTTGATCAACCTATTCCTACCAAAGCTTTGGACAAATTAGCTGATCAAGCTAAAGATTTTGTATGCACACCAAATAAAGCTAAAACCAACCCAAAATAACATAATTACTACTTTTATTGTTATCTCTCTTTATACTATCAAACTGTAACAAGTAATTTTATAAATGAGAATGTTAAATTTGATTAGTGGATAAATAAAATTTTTAGTTACTTTAGATCAATAAGGACAAGTAAGATAAGTTATCTGATAAAGAACTCAAATGAAAAATGATATTTATAGAAGTTTACAATGTTAATAGTGTTAATGTTAATTATAGATAATAAATGTATAAGACTTATTATTTAATAAAACAATGAAGGAAGTCACTTCTAAGAACCATTTCAGTCTTTATTTATAATATTAAATTTGTTACTCACAAATATGACTTTACATTTATTATTCCTTAAAGACTACTTAATGCTATTTACAATGACTTATTTAATATTTCTAACAATGCTTAATTTCTTTAAGGATGTGTAATTTATCTTTACATCCTTCTCTTATTCTCTAACTACAGTACCCCTCTGGATCCGATATACCGTTTCCGATCACAAATGTAACTTATTGCACTTATTGTATTTTTCACGTAATCGGTCACAATATTCCGGTTTCACAGTGTTCACAGTAAAAAAAAATTCGCTAAGAAAAAATCTTTCACTATTAGGTTAGGGTTAGGGTGTTGCTAGTAAATGGTAAAATTTTGCAAGGAAAACTTTTAATTAATTATTTGACTTTTTGGTTCCTTTGAACATTTTTCAAGTTACACCTGATTTCGAAATTTGATTGGCTAGTGAATTTTTTTAGATATCATTAAGCAGAAACCTTCGGCATTTTACAATAAGGTTCGTCCGGTACTAATCATATGTGGAGTTTGAGTATTGGATCACCGACATCACACGATGCAATAATTAAGAGTAAAATAACAACGTCGTTTGACATCAAAAAACTTATCGGTTCAATCATCAACTTTCATGAATATGTCACATAAGTATTAAGTTATATGAATACGAATACGGGTTTTTATTATTTACTGTCTATCAGCCTAGCGTAAAAAATTTCGCTATCCTAGTTAAATTAAAATTTGAATCAGGTGTAACGTAAAATCAAAACTAAAATACCCTGACCCCAACGCTAGTAATAAAATTTTTAGACTGGTGATACTGGTAGTGCTAGGGTCTTATTTATTGATGATCATGTAAACTGAAATTTAAAGTTCTTTTTAATCATATTTTAATAAAATTTTCTAAAAGCAAAATTCATTGAACAATTTATAAAAAAAGATAAAATTAACTTTGTCCCATAAGATAATGATTAACAAAATATAGCTAATTTAAAATGGCGCCAAATATAAGTGTTGCAATAGCAGGTGCAATAGCAACACCAATATCTTTTACTACACCCAAGATATCAGTTTTCTTTCGAGTAGTTTTATCGAGTTGGTTTTGTAAAATATTTACTTTCACCTGGTTTTCTTCCTTGACTTTATCAAGCAATCGATTATATTCATTATTTAATTTCTCGAATGCTTGTTCCCTCTGTCCCTGATCGAGAAGACTTTTTTCTATAGTCTCCATTTTTTCTTCAAGTTGTTTCTGAATTTTTTCATGTTCGGCCTTAATATTAATTATTTCTGTTCGTAGCTTTGTTTCTTCTTGTAAAAGTTCAGTATGTTCCCGTTCAATTTGTTGACGTTCTAACATTTCATTTGCATGTTTATCACGTAAAGCATTATAGGTTCTCAAATGCCTAATGGAATCTTTGTATTGGTTGGCTTTAAATTCATTTAACACCTAAAATGTAATAAAATTTATATTAACTTACATAAATTTTATAGCAATGTTATTAACAACTAAAATAACTATATACTTACTTGTATAGCTTCCTGCCCTGGAATGGCTTCAGTTGCATAAATTGATTCAAACAATTCAATTGCCTCTTCAAAACTGTACTTATCCTACGTAAACAGAATTAAATCAAAACAAAAATTTTAAATAAATAAACAGATAAATAAATTATTAATTACAAAAAGATTGTTTATTTCCAATCCAGGTGCGACATTCTCTTTCCAGAGTTTATGAGCCCATTTTTCATGATGTTCCCTTAAGGCAATTGAGTTTTTATTATAAAATTTATCCTTTGAACAAGTAATCTTATTATAAAATGTTTTTTGAAAAGACTGAATTTGATCCGCGCTTCCAATGATTTGTTTAATGAAATCTTTATGAGCAGATTCAAACGCGTCACTATGAACTTCTTCAAACTTATCCCAAGGAATCGGTGATTCATCAATATTCATTTGGTTCATCTTTTCATTGTAACGTTCAATACAAATTTCATATGCCTTTTGAGCAGCAAAATCAATAGAAGCTTCATATGCACTTGGAATCGATAACATGGTGTTTTCTTGGTCATTTATTTGAGCAACACATTTCTCAAGAAACTCGGCAAAAGCTATCCCTGTCATTGTTGAAGTATTAAGATATTTTGGAGGCAAATTTTTAAAAATGTTTGTTACAGCTTCTTCAATCTTTGTAACAAAAATAGGATCTAATTGGTCAGTTCTAATTGTGCTCATATTTCTCATAGCTTCTTGTCGAACTCCTGGGTGCTAATTTTTAAAGTAATTTAGTGATGCTTTAAAAAATATTTAGAATATGAATATACTTACTGGAATCGCATAAACTTGAAAATTTCTAAAAAAGTTTTTAATGTCTTTCGCGGCTTATTATGAAATAAAAGATATATTACTAATTGAATTAGTTATAATAAAACACTTAATAAAATGGTTAATTTTACCATCATTATTAACATTTGATAATCTGTCAAGAAAATACTTTACAAAGTCAGGCGGACTATCTAGGTGGAAATCTCGAAGGAGTACAACCAGGTTTGGTAAAAATTGGAATTCATTTGGAGGTTGGATTAGAGATACAAGTTTAGTCATTAGGAACAACTTTTCAATATCATCTTTTCCAATAACTCCATTAATATTATATACAAGGGTCGAAGAGATAGCCAAACATAATATAAAAAGTTTATTTGCCCACGGAAATTCTTGATTAGGATCATTAATGCCCTCGCAATCAATTACAACCACACCTAAATTTTATACAGTATGTATAATTGTTAATATATAGAATTTCTATTCCTAAATGTCACATGGATATTTGTCACATTGTACCCCAACTCGGTACGTACGTATAATGCGTATGTACATGTGTCGGTGCAATACGAACGACAAATAACGTATTTACAACTTACGTTTGCCTTTATGAAGGAATGGAGTATCCCAAATATCAATACCTTTAGTACATCCATCCACAGATGAACCAAGCTTAAATCCATCATGGCGTCCGAGAAGAGTGTTTGCAAAATATGATTTTCCTCTTCGATACGAGCCAACTTTATATCAAAGTTTTAAATTAACATTATGTTACGTATAATAAATCAGCTATAATTCTATAACCTACCAACAGTTATAACGGCAATAGGTTCTTCAACTCTTTTTAAAATTCTTAGCGCTTGCTCATCTAACAGAATTAATCCATTATTGGCATCATTATCTAAACACATATAGTTCAAAAGTTGTTTAGGTTTCCCTGGACAAAATGGAATCTTTTTAGAAAATGGATTTGATGACATTATTTTAAATTATGAAAAAAACCGTTTAATTCCATGTTATTGTCAACCTACTTTAAATAGCTGTACCATGGATGAACAAAGTCACCCGTTTCAGCATTGTTATTAGCGTTTAATGTTTGATGTTTTTGTGTTTCAGTGGTTTAGTGCAATATATTATTTCCATAAAAAGAAATTGTTCCAAATATGGTACTTGGTATGGCATCTTTAATATTTTATTCTATTGGTGTTTCAATGATTTTTGAATTAATGTTTATATATCTCGCATAAAAATTACTTTAAAGGCTCAAAAATGTCTATCAAAAGTATGACATGCCTAGTGATGGGAAAAATGCGCATTTTAAAATATCATGCGCATGATATCGCATGATAAAAAAAAGGCAAAAAAAAGAAAAAACGATCGAGAGGAGAGAAATCTTGATGGGATAAAATGCGCATGAAACGGAATCATGCGCATGAATGCGCATTAATGCGCATGTTTCCGCAATCATGCGCACGCATGAAACCCATCTCTAGACATGCCACTATACGTAGCGTGGCATCGGCATGCCATTAATTATAGTAATATGTAATATACCAGATAATATATTTGTAGTATATAGATATTACTTCTGTTAAATCACACTACTTAAATATATACTATTTAACTAAAACTATATATTTTTAAAAAGCATTTCTTCTTTACTATGATGAGTAATGTGATGTAAATATAATGATTAAAAGTCACTTAACAAACGATTCTAGATATTTAAAAAATTTTTTACCTAATTAAATTATTACAGATAATCATATGATTATGGCAGGCTATCTTCCTCATCTCTCACGAAGTGGTGTGAACGCAATGCCGTAATTGGTCGTGATTTTTTTTTTATTTTTTTTTATTTTTTTTTATTTTTTTTTACAATAAATAACTTAATTATATCGTGATAATTGGATGGTTTTTATACCATTCATTTCGTCTCAATGAGGCGAATCGAACGGTACCAAATCATCCAATTCGTCTCGATGAGGCGAATTGAATGGTACTAAAATCATTCATTTCGTCTCGATGAGGCTATCGAATGGTACCAAAATCATTCAATTCGTCTCGATGAGGCGAACCGAATGATCCCCAAACTTCCAATTCGGATCAATGGATCAAAAGATATTCATAATTTTGGTACCATTCGATTCATTGAGACGAATTGATAGTATCAAAACCATCTAATCTGGATTACTGGATCACGATATAATTAAGTTTTTATATAAAAAAATAAAATAAAAAATACGACCAATTATGGGAATTGCGTCACACCTAGAGATGGGACACTGCGCAGCCTGCGCATTATTTCACTGCGCAGCCTGCGCAGGCATTTTTTGAGGCTGCGCAGTG